GTCATCTGCAAATAGTGACAGTTTCACTTCTTCCTTTCCAATTTGGATCCCTTTTATTTCTTTCTCTTGCCTGATTGCTCTGGCTAGGACTTCCAGTACTGTGTTAAATAGGAGTGGTGACAGTGGGCATCCTTGTCTGGTTCTTGTTCTTAAAGGGATAGCTTTCATTTTTTCACCGTTGAGGATGATATTAGCTGTGGGTTTGTCATATATTATACCATGTATTGTTTATCCACTCATCAATTGTTGGATATCTTAATTGTTTACACGTTTTAGCTAGTAAGAATAATGCTGCTGCAAACATTTGTATACAACTTTTTGTGTAGATACATGTTTTCATTTTTCTTGGGTATATGCCTCGGAGTGGGATTGCTGGGTCATATGGCAACTCTGTATTTAACTTTTTAAAGAACTGTCAAACTATTTCCCAAAACATTCAATACCCTGTTTTTAAAATATATGTATGTCAGTGTAGGGAAGGCAGTTATAAATGCCAATTTATAGATGAGATAATGCAAATGACCAATGAATCTAAGAAATATCCTTGGTACTCAGGAGAAATGCTAAGTATGATAAGTTATACCATCGCTCTATCAGATCAGGAAAAATTCAAATGATTGTTGACACCTAGAGCTGAGGTAGCTTTGGGAAAGTGGGCACTCTCTCTCGTAGATTGTTGGTGGTAGCATAAATTGTTAGGGCCTTCTTGCAGAGCAACCTGGTATCATCTATCATCTATTGCCTACACTTTGAACCAGCACCTCCACTTTTGCAAATATCTCATAGAAAAATTAAAGCACTGGTTTATAAAAATATGTGTATAAGGATATTTATTGCAGCATTGTTTTAAGTGGCCCCAACTAGAAAGAGTGAATATTGATCAATAAGATAATGACCGAATAGGTTATGTTGCCTCCGTATTGCGAAATCTTATGAAGCTGTTTTTAAAAAAAGAATTAGTTATATCTCTCTATATTGACATGGAAGCTTGATGTATTTGTAAGTGAAAGGTAAAATTTTAGAGTAAAATTTAAATAAATGCTTAAATCTTAAAAATTTAGAGACAAAAATTCTAGATATGTCTACATATGTTTGCATAGATTTATTTGAGGAGGCACACCCAAAAATTCAAGAATGAAAACATTTTTTTGCTAATTTCAGTAATAATAAAAATTATTAACTGAAATTGGTACAGTGTCTCTGGAGGGCAATTTGGCAATATGCACAAAAATCCTGAATGTGCATGGCCTTTGACAGCATACCATTTTAAAATATTTTTGCAGGAAAATAACTTAGGATCCTTAAAACAATGTAATTGCAAGGATGTTCATAGCATTTTGTGCTTTTAACGGAGAACTATTGGGAGAAAACTCCATTCAACAATAGGGACAGAAGTAGTCACAATAACTGCAGTATAGCCACCAGAGGGATTCCCAAGGTGTCATGAAAAATAACTTTCATAAGTACATTTACTGCCTTGAATGATGTCAATTATATACTGTGATGTGGAAAATTCAAGTTATAAAACAACATATACAGTGTAATTACGTTTTAATTTTTAAGTGCAATGTGTGAGTATATGTGTATAGGAAAACATTTGAAAATCAATACTATTAAATGTTAATGGTGATTGCCATTGTGTGGAAGGCCCTGGGTTGCGCTTTGCTTTCATTTTAACTTTGTTGTATTTTGTCAATTTTTTTTGCAGTAAGCATGTATTGCTTCTGTAATAAAAATGTATTTCTCAACATTAAAAAATCACTTTAGTCTCTGTCTTTTGTCCATAAGATAGAGCTGAACCTCCTTGACTAGGAATTCAAGATCCGAAATGCTGCTTCAGTTCCAGCCACACTAGACCCACGTTACCTAGACATGTACACCTCGGTGCCTTTGCACATGCTGTTCCATCAGCTAGGAATGCGGTGATCTTCCTTGTCCTCCCTTTGAATGCAGACACCCTCAAGGCCCAGCTTCTGGTTTCCTCCTTTATGGAGCTTTCCCTAATTGCCCCAATTCCCATGCACAGTGCAGGGCTTCTTCTGTTCTTCTGTGGCTCTCATTCACAGAAGGTGAAAATACAGACCAGAGTGAGAACGCTACAGAAGCACGGACCTCATCGTCTTGCTGAACATCAGTGAAGAACATTAAAGACTATCTCAATGTCTATAGCATGAAGGTAAATGGTAATTCTGTGTCAAGTGTATACGAATTTAAAATTAATCAATATTGGCAAATTATTTTCCAAAAACACTGCTTCAAACTGCATTCTCACAGCAGTTTAAGAGAACGCCTTTCCCCCACATCCAACCAAACCTGGGTTTTCTCAAATGATTTCCTTTTATTTTTTTTCAATTTGATATGTGCAAGTGCATCTTATTACTTTGATTTTCATTTCTTTAGTAGTGGTGGAGGTTGAACATCATTCCATAGGTTTATTGGCCATTTCTATCATCTTTTTTCGATGAGCAATGGGTTATGTGTCTTTGTGGAAATAGTTCAGAATGGGTATCTTTGTAGCTTAACTTTTGCCCATATCTTTCATTTTTTTCTTCAGGATAAATTCCCAAAGTGGAATTGATGAGTGCAAGGCTCTCAGATTCTCAAGGCTTTTTGTGTTTATTAACAAATTGCCTTTCTAAATTGTACCAATGTGTACTCTCACAAATGACACCAGAACGTGCTTGTCTCCCTTGAGGCATTGTCAAGGTAAACTTTTATTATTTAATATAAAAATTAAAAATATGGTAGTCTGATGAGCAAGTCATTCCACAGAAAGTCATTCTTTGAATTTCTATTTTCTCTTCTGTTTATTTATTCAATTATAATTGGTAAAAGGTAATATAAGCTTATTGAAAATTATTCAAATATATAAAACAGAAAATATGGTTCCCCTATGGTTTCATGCCTAAAAAGACAGCTAATAACTGTTTGACATATATCCTCTCAGATTCCTTTCTAAGTATATATTAACATAAATAACTATTGCAATTAGTATGCTTCCCATTAGTGTTCTTCAAAACATTGACATACTCATATACTGCTTCTTTCATTTTTAACTCAACAATATACCATCTCCCCACAACAGTATCTACAGGTCTAGTTTAATCTCCTTAATGGATGCACGTTATTTCATAGTACGGATACAACATAACATATTTAAATAAAATCCTGTTGGTGGGTATTTGAATTATTTCCAATAAAATAACGTTTATTCCAAATTTCACAATTTTGCAGTAAACATTCTTGTACATATATTTAGTATTATATATACATAATATTTTTCAGGTGGCAAGGAGTACATTTCTGTCTTCTGATTAAATTTGCGTTTCTTGGATTACTAGAGTGTGCATCTTTTTGTAGGGTATCAACCACTTATATTTTTCCTTCAATAACCTTCTTGTTCATGACCGTTTTCTTCCTATTCTTCTCTTGGGGTATTCATATTTTTCTCATTTATTCTCAAAAGTCTTTAAACACTATGTTGCAAATCCTTTCCTCTAGATTCCTATTTGCCCTGGAAACTTGTGTATGTGTTTTTGGCCATGAAAGTTTTAAAATCAGGAGCAGGAAATAGTTCTCGCTGAAGAGACTCACCGCAAGTGCAGGGTTTTCCGCAGCACTGCGTGGACCTCCTTGTTCCGCAGGCAGTAGATGATAGGGCTGCACGTGGGCGTGGCCACCGTGTAGACGACTGACAGCATCTTGTTGAGGTCTGTGGATTCGACGCGGCTGGGTCGGGAATACGTGAAAAGGACCACCGAGTAGAAAATGCCCATCACAATCAGGTGGGAGGCGCAGGTGGAGAGGGCTTTGCAACGGGCAGCAGCTGAAGGCATGTGGAGCACAGCCTTCCCAATGGCCGCATAGGAGGCTAGAGCAATCAGTAATGACCCACAGAAGATGAAGATGGTGGAGATGAAGTCCACCAGCTCTGTCAGGGCCACGTGGGTGCAGGACAGGTTGAGCAGAGGGGAAACATCACAGAAGAAGTGATTGAGGACATTGGGGCCACAGTAGGACAGGCTGGCAATGCATGATGTCTTAACCACTGAGACCAGCAGCCCACCAAGCCATGAGGACACGGCCAAGCCCAGGCAGACCTGGGGCCTCATGAAGAGCAGGTAGTGGAGTGGATGACAGATGGCCACATAGCGGTCATAAGACATGGAAGCCAGGAGGGTGCACTTGGTACAAATGAGAGATACGAATAAAAAAAGCTGAATTATGCAGGCTGTGAAGGACACATGGCGTAGACTGGACCTCAGCCCCACGAGCAGGCTGGGCATGGTCACTGACACGTAGCACATCTCTAGGCCGCTCAGGTTGTCCAGGAAGAAGTACATGGGCTTGTGGAGCTCACTGTGACTGCAGATGAGGTAGATGATGAGCATGTTCTCCAGGAGGATCAGCAGGTAGAGGGTCATAAAGATGACAAATAGGCCAATCCTTACATCTTGCCTGGCAGACAAACCCAGTAGGATAAACTCTTGGACTCTGGACATATTGGCCAATTCCAGAGACCTCTCCATCTAAGTGAAGAAAGAAATAGAGACCGTTTGTAGAGACCGTGGCCATAGGGTTAGGGGTTCTATGGCGAATATGACTTTGCCATGATGGCTGTTGTCAGGAGGACCAGTGAGGAGCAATTGAGAAATTGCAAGACCAGAAATGGGAAACTTACACTGGACTTACTAAATCTGTGATCATTGGCAAGACACTCAATCTTTATGAACCTCAGTTATCTTATCTGTAAAATGGAGGTGAAATCTAACCCCATGAAGTTCTTGGTCCTTATGGATACCGAACTTGGCAATAGACGAGAAGGTGCTTCATAAAGTGAGGCATGACTGTTATTTATTTACTTTTGATGATGTTAAGTGACGCTCTCTAGGTTGGAGTTCTTTTTTTTTTATTTATTAACAGTTCCTAGGACATCAGGGGTTGTCTGCACTATTTTAAATAAAGGAAGACTCACAATTCCCTTATTCTGAGACATATACCTCTCTTAATTGGACTGAATTTCTAGAGGAAACTTGCCATTGTTTATTAGAGAAAAGTACTAACAGTAACAGTTTTTCTAAAAAGACCAATGAGAAATTTCCTCCCTGAATATTTGTAAAGATGACACCTTCCAGAAAGATAACACGTCTTTTTTTTTAAGGAAAGAAACTACATATGTTGAGCATCACTTATGTACTCCTGCATTGTGCTGCCTTTTTTAAACACATGGAGATCAATTAATTTTCATGACCCTACAAAAATAAAGGCATTATTTTACCTATTCATACACATGAGTGTACTGAAACTCATAGGCAGTAAGTAACTTGTGCAAAAGGGTGAAGTTATAGAAGTAGGGGTCCTTTGCCTCTGCCATTAATATTGGGGATTCAGCTGGAGTTTTAGGCAACTGAGATGTGGAGATTATGCTATTTGGACTTAGTTCTGACTTATCATATGTATTCAATAGCAAATATTTATTTAGTATATATTATGTACCAGATGCCTGAAATCAAATAGAAAACACAACTAATGTCTGTGAGCTTTTGAAATTTATATTCTAGGTAGTGAGGTATAGAGAAAGCAAACAAAAAGACAAATACAGAATTTCAGCAAATAAGGGCTGAGGAGAAAGCAAAACAGGATGGTTAACAACGTCTGGAGGGGGAAGAAATTCATTTTATTCCATTCATGTGCTGAGCAAAATCCACTTCCCAGTAGCGCATCACCCCAATACGTTCTAGGTCATAGGGTTCTAGTTTCTAAGTTAAACACTCCAAATGAAAACTAAGTTTCAGAGATAAACAATCAGAATAAAGAATGGAATAAAGCCCAGAAACACACCAAAAATATATACAAACTTGATTTATGACATAACTTGTATTAAAGATAAGCGGAGAAGGGGATGTACTTTGCAACAAATGGTTCTTGAATAGTTGTCTGTACAGAAAAATAAAAAGAAATTGAAACCCTATATCACATCACATGCACAAAATATCAACTTCAGGTGAACTAAAAATATAAATGTGAAGTGCAAATCTCTGAAATTTTGGAGAAAAACATAGAAGTATATCTTTATGACCTTGGGAGTAGAAAACAATAAGAATAAAGGAAAAGAATTTAAAACTTATCCACTTTAAAATGTAAAAATTCTAATCATCAAAAGAAATTCTGATCACCGCAGAAAACTAAAATAAAAGTCACAAACTAGAAAAAGTATACTTGAAATATGTATAAGTTAGGAGGGATCCCTATGTAGGATACACAAAGAAATTGGTCAATTTATATGCAAAATGGTTTTTTTAGTAGAAAAGTGGGCATAAGTTCTGAATGTATACCTCACCAGAGAATAATTAATTGCTCAAAACATAGAAATATGCTTATCTTGTAAGGAACCAAGGAAATGGAAATTAAAACCAAAATTAGATGCCATTTCACACCTGTGGAATTGGCACAAATATAAACATCTGAAAATATTAAGTTTAACAATGAGAATTCTCATATACTGCTTCTGGAGGTCTGAACTGGTGTAATCACTTCAGAAAATAATTTGGCACTTCGAGTAAATTTTAAGATGTGACTATACCCCAGAAATTCTATGTCTAAGCATATATCCATAGTAACGTTCATAGAAGCACTGTTTTACTAGCAAAAAAACCCTGTAAATATGCCAAGTGTCCAACAGTAGAATTGATAAGTAAATTGTGATCTCTTTATATCCTGGAATACTATTCTGTAAATAAATGAATGAATCAGAACCACATCTAACATCATCAATGAATCAATCTTAGAAACATAATATTGAGCAAAAAAAAGTTACATAAATATGCAAACAGTATAATTCCATTAGCATAAAAATCAAACCGTGCAAAAATTTTAAGAAATATATGGTAAAATAACGTAGGAGATCAATGGACCCAAAATTCAAGATAGTGGTTACTTCTTAGCGGGGATGAATGGGGTGGGAAGGGCACACAGGAGGCTTTGAAGATAAACAGTCATATTCTTCTTAAAATGGTTAATGAATACAAGGGCCTCACTGCATTGTTATGTTTATAACCTACTCCTGTGCTGCATATTTTCTTTTTCATCTACTCATCATTTATACAAAAGCCACTTATAAAAATAGCTTCATGTGTTAAAATTCATATAACTGTATAGCAAAAAAGTCAACTTTATGTATGTTAATTTTGAACATAAAATTTAAAAGTGACTTTTCCCACTCCAGCATCATTCTCTCTTCCTCAGAGGTAACAACTGTTATCAGCTTCTTGAGGGTTCTTCCAGAAATACTGCCAGCATATTCATGCACTTGTATGTATCTGTACCCTCCCCTCTTTAAAACATGGCCCAATTCACACATCGAGTATGAGTATGAAGATCCCTTTTAATCCAAATACTATATTTTTTCTCGCATGCTTTAATGCCTTCTCCCTCGATTGTTTTAGTAAGTTTTCCCCCTTGAAAATGCTTAATTCTCAATACGTCCAAATTAAGAAAAAATGATTATTCCTTCCGAGTCTATTGGTTTAGGCAAAGATAGATGAGATCATTAAGATAGTCCCCTTCAAGTAACAGATGAAAAAATGTTGAATAAATGAATGCAATAAATTATTTGCTGTTGTTGTTAGTGTTATTTAAAATTATAGACATGCAGTTTAACCCAAGAAGGTAGATATATTCTTGGTGGAAACTTTCATCTTGGTATTTTGGCACAATACCTCATTTTTTGCATGAGCACAGTGAGGCTCAAAGTTGTTGCTTAAACCTCTTATCAGGTCATCTTCTGTCTGTTTGGGGTGCATGTTGTTAGCGCTGAACAAGGTCACCTGGGTGGTTGGGCTGTCCTTGGTCCTGAACAAGGCGGCCAGGGCGCTGTCCTTGGTCCTGAAAATGAATTCCTGCCACAGCCTCCTGCCACGGACTTGCACTCCTCCGCTGGACTTCCTTTCTTCTCTGGCCTGCTTTATCCCTCATTCTGCTTCTGCTCTTCTTTCCCTTCTATGTACCCCTGTTCTTGACTTCACTTCTTCACGAAGACTCCTTGGGGTTATCTTTCCTCTCTGATAACTTCAGATGCCCTAAAATGCCCCTGATTAGTCTGCTGAAGAACTGATAAGTGTATGTTAAAAGGTACTGGATTCTGTGGGGATGCTTCAAAGATTTTAAGCCTATTCCATAAACATTTGTCACACTTGAATTGCACCGAGGGACTGAGATGTGGTTATGGTTGACTTAGTTTTTGCCTTCATAGAAAACTTTATGACCAGCAGCTTGCTAGCCGTGTAACCAGGAGTAAGATCCTTAGTCTTTCTAGGCCTGAGTTACCCGTTACTTACGTTAGTACTACTATTTCCATCGGGAATCAAAAAAATATACTATATAATGATAGCTTTCATTTATTGCCTACATTCTATGTACTGGTCAATTTAGATGCAGTATGATATAGTTCAGTGGCCGTCAAGCACTTTTACCATGACCCACAATAAGAAATACATTTCACATTGTGGCCCAGTCACAAAGACACACACGTACAAGCACCACATACACAAATAAAACATAAATTTAACAAAAAACACACTTACCCTTACTTCATGTGAGTCTCTTTGATATTTTCTCTCATGTTCTATGCCATGTGACTTTTAATGCTAGTATTGACCTCGTACATTTATTTATGTACCTCAGTTTAAAGTATACTGTCATTCAAGTTAAGAGAAGGGCTTTGGAATCAGACAAAAACTGATTCTAGCCTGGGCTATCTCTCTGACTTAGACAAGGGCTCTGGCCTTCTGAGCCTCATGTCTTCATCCCCATTATGGAGATAATAATCCTGACTTCTTCAGGCTGTCATGGGGATTAAATCCAAAATAGTCTCTATGGCACCCAAGTAGTGTCTAGCATCCATAGGCATCTAATAGGAGAGAGGACTTTTCTGATTTTCTTTTCTTTCTTTCCCAAATCAAGTCATCTTGTTTTCTTACCTATTAGCTAAAGTGAGACAGATCTTGGTTTTCCTTCCTAAAGGAGACTCAGGGTGCCAAAATTATTCAGTTTCTGCCCCTGGACATCAGTGAAGATGCCAGTGACTTGAAGAGCTGGCCAGTGAGTTCAAGGACCTCAGAAATGTTTGGAAGAAGTTGTCTTTGGTCCTGAGCAATGAACTGTCACCTGCCACTCCTCATTTCTCCACCTCTGTGTTCTCTGAGCTGCCAAAAGAATTCTGTTTTTACAGCCAGATGCAAGCAGAAGGGCCAGTTTAAATCTAAGAGATGGACCTTAGAGGGCTGTCCTAATCTCTGTGGATTTAGAGGAAAAATTGAAGTGAAAACTTTTCATGAAAGTGTACTGGGGCTTGGAATGGTGACTCAAAGGTAACACCGGTTCCAAGGCAGTTCTCATGCAGTTGGGACCCCTAATAGGTGTCAAGATTTGTGTTGGATACTGGAATTGCAAAGCTGAATGAGAAGTAATTCCAGCTGTCAAGTTGCTCCCATAATACTGCGGTATACCGACCCCAAAGCAGACATTTATA